CAATTTTTAGAATTAAGTTTTCCAAGGGATGAACTAGTTTAAAACAAACCAAGGTCCAAATTTATAAGCAATTTAAAAATTGCTAACCAAATTACAAGCAATGTAAAAATTTGCTACAACAATACAAAAAAATAAAAATTCTTAAACACATTGGTAAATAACCATAATTAAAATTCAAGCAAACAATTGCTTCAAACATAGTCCAAAAAATTCCTTTCCGCGCTTAGGTACTTCTGTTCAACACAAAAGGTTGGTAGTCCATTTTTTTTTTCTTTTTTTTTTTTTCAATCCCAAACTTTATTCAGTTGGATTTTTAATTTTTTTCATTCCCTTTCGCAAAGGTATTCCTGTAAATAAAGTTAGCAGAAAGCCACAACAAAATACACAACAAATAATCGAAAGAAACTATAATTATAACTCCCAAACAAATTACAAACCTTATAACTCTAAAAATTAAATTACAAATACGAGTTATAGAAAATTATTACACAATAATCATATAAATAAATATAGCCCAGTTACAAAAATTTTATAACTCCAAAATTAAATTAAGATTAATTGCCATGAGTTATATATGAATTTTGTTTTTTTTTAGAAGGTGAAGGGCATGACTCCTTACAAAACGGGAACTTCACTCAACATAATCTGCTCTAAATGCTCAGGAACCCCAGCCATCCAAACTCTCTTCTCTGGATCCTCCTTAGCCATTTGAGCCAAATGATGAGCCAGCACGTTGCCACTCCGTCGCGTGTACGAAACACAGAAACTCGAAAAAAGGTTACCACGATCGATGGCATATTGTAAAAAATGACCAAACGAAGCACTAAGATACCCATCCTCTCGCATTGCCTGGACCACAGTAAGGGAATCACCTTCCAAATGAATGTCTGTTAAACCCAACTCAGCTGCAAAATCCAGAGCCTTGACAGCCGCGATAGCTTCAATACAATCAACCTCCATCCATGTTGGAATTTTCTCCGATAAAGCTGCAATAGGTACGCCCTTGTGATCACAAATCACAACCCCTACTCCACAGGCCTTCTGCTGCCTGAACATGGCCCCGTCGAAATTCACTTTAAGAATCGCCCCAATCGGCAGTCTCCACTTCTCATTGCCATGAACCACGGGAGTACCACGCACTGTGGACTGAGCCTTCTCAAAATCTCGCACCAAATCACACACCATTTGAATGGTCTCAGCAGTCGAGTGAATGACTTTACTGAAAAGAGCTTGATTCCGCGATGACCACAGACCCCAACAAATTGAGAAAAACAAACCCAATGTGGCTTTCTCAGTCTTATGTCCAACTTCATATGCCCAACCCATGAAGTCACCACCAGCACCATGATCAAGCACAAATGATATCGGACTTTGATACCAAACCTCCCTCGCCTTTCTACAACCCCTTAAACAGTGCATTACCGTTTCCGCTTCAAACCCACAACCATCACACGTATCCTCTGTCAATAGATACCGATGCCGAAGAGCTGATTTAATCGATAGTATATTGGAGCAACATTTCCATGCAAAGACCTTAATCTTATTGGGAATGCGAAGGCTCCATACTTGCTTCCAAAACCAGATAACATTTTGTACATCGGACCCAGACCCGCGCACCTCCCTCACACTAAGATTCATTTGCAGATGATAAGCCGATCGAACCGAAAACATCCCATTCCTCGTAAAGTGCCAAACCAACTTGTCTGGAATGCCGTAACTACAAAGAGGGATTTGCTGGATTGCCTCCACATCTAGCTCCAAGAAATTCTCCTACAAAACAGTGACGTCCCAACAATGCCTATCCACATCGATATGGTCACTAACCCAAGCACCTTGTAACTGAGTTGTAGGTGGCGAACAAACCCGAAAAGAATGAGGCCGTGGCACCCATTTGTCACCCCATATTTGGATTGAGCGTCCATCTCCCACACGCCATCTCAACCCCGCTTTCAAGAGCGATCTAGCATTAAAAATGCTCCTCCATGTGAAAGATGGATTCGACCTAACAATAACTTGAAGAAAATTCGTATGAGGATAATACTTAGCCTTCAGAATTCGGGCCAACAACGAATCTGGTACCGAAATCAGCCTCAACCCCTGTTTGGCCAACAATGCTTTGTTAAAGGCCTTCAAGCTACGAAACCCCATCCCACCCATCCATTTTGGGTCACACGATGCTCGCCAATTTTTCCAATGAATTTTCCGCTTGTTCTCCCGCTCACCCCACCAATAGTTACGCACCATAGAGTCAATATCCTCACAAATCACATCAGGCAACTGGAAGCAGGACATAATATACGTTGGAATAGCTTGAGCAACCGATTTAATCAATATCTCCCTACCAGCCACTGATAAGAATTTTTCATTCCACCCATTCAACCAAGTCCAAACTTTATCCTTAACATAGTTAAAAATGCCCCATTTAGATCGGCCAACAATGTATGGCAGACTGAGATATTTTCCAGATTCCACCAAATTGCCAACCTCCATCGCATTCCGCAAACCCGCCTAAATATCCACCCCCAGATTCTTACTAAACAGATAGCCGATTTCTTTAGATTGATTTTTTGGCCTGAAACTAACTCATATTTTCCTAATAAACCTTGAACCACCGAAAGTTCTTGCGGGTTTGCAGCTCCAAACAACAAACTATCATCCGCAAGAAAAGGTGAGACACCCGTGGACTGCCTCGACACACCGCCACCCCAGTGAGCTTACCCTCTCCTTCAGCTCGTTTAATTAAAGAGGATAGACCTTCGCGCACAACACAAACAGATACGGAGACAACGGGTCCCCTTGTTGCAGCCCCCTTGTAGGAACAAACCTCTTCGTCGGATGACCATTCATAAGGACAGAATATGACACAGATGAAATACAATGTAAAATTGTATCCACAAAATGTTGATTGAAGCCCATCCTCTCCATTACCCCCCGTAAGAACCTCCATTCAACACGATCGTAGGCTTTACTCATATCAAGTTTTAAGGCGAAATGTCCCTCTCTTCCATGCCTTTTATTCTTCAAAAAATGGAATATCTCAAATGAAGCAAGCACATTATCACTAATGAGCCTCCCGGCCATAAAGGCACTTTGATTTATTGATATGAGCTTGGGTAAGATCTTCTTCATCCGATTGGCTAACACCTTGCTTACAATCTTATAGACCACATTACAAAGGCTAATGGGCCGAAATTGAGACATTCGTTTTGGTGTCATCACTTTTGGAATTAGCACAATAAATGTATCATTCATAATCGTCACCTCCTTGCCATCATTAAGGACACCCAATACCACCCGTGTAACTTGTGCCCCCACTATCGGCCAGAACCGTTGATAGAACAGCGCTGGTTTGCCATCCGGGCCCGGGGCTTTCATAGGATGCATCTGGAATAGAGCGTATGACACTTCCTCTGCGGTATATGCTCTAGCTAGCTCGACATTCCTCTCTGGAGGAACAACAGGTTGAATGGTATCCAAAACTTTCCCAATATCACTATGTTGTCCCGATACAAACAACTCCTCAAAATAACCCACGACAATGCGCTCCAAATCTTCCGGTGTAGAGCACCATCTAGCATCATCGTCTTCAAGCCCATCAATCCGCTTCTTCTTATGCCTCTGTGACGCTTTGGAGTGGAAAAAAGAAGTGTTTCGATCGCCGTCTTTCAGCCAATTCGCTCTCGCTCTTTGGCACCACAAAGTCTCCTCTCTCGCTAAGAGTTCATCAGTCTCACGGCATAATTGCATGCGCACACCATACTCTTCCCTAGAAAATACGGACAGCCCCTCCAAATGCCGCACCTCATTTAGCTTAGATCGCAGTAATTGTTGGACATGACCAAACGTAGTCCTCCCCCACTGAGATAAGCATGAACCCATCTTGTCCACATTGAGCCATAGTCTATCCATACTTCCTTCCTGATGACAAGCCCAATTAGTTTTGACCACCTCCTCACATCTACCATCACGGAGCCACATTGCCTCGAAGCGATAGATACGTTGTATCCACCTGTGCCCACTCTGCCACATATTCGGTCCCAACAAGTCCACCAGAATGGGCATGTGATCCGACGTCGTACAAGTGAGGTGGACCACCCTAGCCTTCGGAAAAAGCCTAACCAAGTAGCATTAGCCACCCCACGATCTAATCGTTCACGTACCAACCTAGATGGTCGATTATTGCACCACATAAAACGGGGCCCGAAAACACCCAAATCAGCTAGTGAACAATCCGAAAGAGCATGTTGGAAGGCTTCCATCTAGGCTCTACTTCGGTCTCCCAACCCCAACTTCTCCGAAGGCAACAAAATTTCGTTGAAATCTCCTACCACCAACCAATGTAGATCATCGAAACCTCCCAATTGACGAAACAACTCCCACGAATCTCGTCTTTTCACAACTTCCGGATGGCCATAGAACCCAGTAAAATGCCATCGCCCAATCCCCACGTCCGACTCCACAACAGCATCGACATGCCCACTGGAGTAGCTACGGACAGACACCGTCACTCTAGTCCTCCAGAACAATGTTAACCCCCTAGACAATCCAATCCTATCCACAAACAAACCCCCAACCAAACCAAGTTTGTAGCGAAGCCACTCTATCTTGCTCGACACGCACTTTGTTTCCATAAGAAAGACCACAGTAGGCGCTTGTTCCTTCAACAAAAGCTGAAGATTTCGAACTGTGCGCGGGTTCCCAAGCCCGTGACAGTTCCAACTGAGGCATTTCATTGTGATCGGTGGGGCTGCCCAGCAGCCTCCACCGTTGATTGGAGAGATGATCCATGTGGAATCAGACCCACAGAAAGCTTAATCCGTTTACTATCATCAGAAGAACCCGAGGACTTATCGCGGAGCCCCTTCCCCCTCTTACCCACAGGCTTCTTCGCATGACCAGCAGGTAGCGTCCGCTGCTCCACCGGTTGTGCAAAATTACGTGCCAACTTCTTCTATTTTTTCCCCACCTTCAATGGGCCCGTAGATGTACCCATATTAATCTCAGCGCTCACAGAAAAGTCTAAACGTGGGCCTATCAACCCACAAAGCTTGGGCCCATCCTCCCCCCAAGCCCACAATCGCTTGCCCATCAAGCTTTTCCCCTAACCTCCCTATAGTCGCCACCTCCACAACCCTCTCCACATTAGGCCCATGTAAATCATGGTCGAGCCCAACCCAGCCCTCCGTAGTTTGAATATCTGGCCTTGGCGCCAAAGGAAGATCGCCACCCTCCAATCCCCCCAAAGAGGCCACCAAATCCGCTGGTATACATGCAATCCCGGTGATTGGGGGAGCTAAATTATCCTTACCTGATTTAGACTGACCCATAGATTCCTTCTCTGGGCTCCGGTGCTTTGCCGTCACCGGAACAAAGCTATGATTTGAGCCATCCCCTTGACCACCTTGTTGCACATCTACATCCTTCGATAACATTTTAGAGTTTCTAACAGACTCCCCCTCCTTCCCTGGGTATAGGAATGGTCCCGTTGATACCGTCCTCTTATTGGCTCTGCCCGAAGCCAGGGCCCATACTGCAGCGGTGCCCCTACCTCTTCCCCACCTCCCAAAATCTTAGTCGAACAGTCGTGAACACTGTGGCCAAGCAAACCACAGTGAAAACAAAAGTTTGGGAGTTTCTCATACGTAAGCGTAATCCACACCGACTCCCGCCCACTTAAGGCCAATTTCAACTCCCGCCGTAGTGGTTTGACAATATTGATCGCTACCCGAATACAGAGAGATTGCCCCCAAGCAATACCACCATCTCCATATTCCATATCAACAAACCTCCCAAGTTGATTACCTAGCAGAACCCCCACATCCCGTGTCATGCTAATAAGAGGGAGATTGGATACATGAACCCAAAACTCCATCGTGGAGAAGGTGATGTCCAATGGTAGTAAATCCCCATCAAAATCTCTCCACATCACCAACTGTTTATCAAAATTCCATGGGCCATTAAGCATCACCCTTCTCTTATCAACAATATGACCAAACTTGATCAAAAACAAATTATCACCCAATGTCTTAAACACGATCCCTTTAGATGCTCTCCAAACCGCGGTCAAAGTAGTCCGAAGCGCCTCAAAATTGAATGGACGCGTAGTAAGAAGTTTACCTACCAAACAAAGCCCCACCTTCGCCTCCGTAGGTTGAAGATGAACCTCCTCCACCACCACTTCTGCTTCCTCCTCCTTTGTCAGTACTAGTCTCCTCGCCAGATCATTAAGAGAATCCGCCATTAGCACAAGCTAGAAATGCCAACCTACACTCGAAACCCGAGAAAACCCCCCACACCAGGAGAGCGTATCTTGTACGTGACAAGAGAGGACTCCTACGAGAGGAGAGCCAAAGTCACAATAAATGAATTTAAATCACAATAAACATGTAAACTTATAGCTCCAAATAAATAAATTAAATTAAAAGGCAAGAGTTACCTATGAATTTAATCCACAATAAACATGTAAATAATTTTAACAATTAAAATCATGCAAATTATTCTACAAAATTAGAATTTCAACCAAGTAGCATTTTATCTTTCACTAAAAATATAAACAGTTATTCGCATGCTGAGAATTATATGATAGAGAAGCATGCACAACTCAAAATTATACATATCCAACAGTAGTCAATTAAGATGAAAACAGTAACATTCAATTTATATGAATTTAATAGTCCAATCATGATAATCATAGAAGTTCTGGGCAATTACATATGAAATTATAAATATAGTAATTTATATTGGAAAAGAAAAAACTGTGGACTGTTCTAAATATCAAATATATTGTCTATAGGCAGAAATAATAGCATCAAATCTTGTTGGCATTTATTATTTAAAAAAAAAAATCATGTATGGATGAACCACATACAAAACACCACAGGAGCATTCATATCATATTGATTATAATCATGCACTATGAAATATGAAATAGTGGCCTATACAAAACATTCTGTCCTTCCAGAACCAAGCATAAATCAATATATTACATAATATAATATTCTAATCATGACTTTTAGATAATTCTTGACTTGTTCCCGCAAACATGCTTTTACATACACGGAAACCAAAACAAACAATTCTGGGCAACAGTGGACTAGTAGATACGAATGACGTATGAATCTATCAAATTTTTTCATGAGAAATATCTAATCTGTTTTAAGATTGTTGTTTAACTTGTAAATTAAATAAAATGAACAAACAGATTCATATGAAATGATATTAATTTATAAGAAATGAGATCATGATTATAACATACAACTTAACGAACAGAAATACATATAAGAAAATTAAGAATAGAAGCGCAAACCGAAACCTGTGTAATACCACAATCTCCTTAAAATAGATTAGCCGCCTCACCATGAGTGCTGGAGGTATGTCATCTTCTGTCTCCTGGGATACGACAGTTTAGACTAACTAACGTAGAAGCAAAAAATTTTGTACCAAAATCAAGAGAGATGGGTCTCCTTTTATACACAATGCGGGAGAGAGGAGAAACCTTCCAGCCATGAAGGCTGGCAACTAATGCAGGCAAAACTGCCCCATAACTTATAAGACTTAGGTGTGTGTGAGTTACACACGTGTGTATAAATAACTTATGGGACTTAGGTGTGTGTGAGTTACACACATGTGTGTATATATAAATATATCACCAGTCCAAACCTTATCCATTCCAGCAAGTCTCAAGCCCATGATTTGGACCCAGCTTGGCTCGGGCAGTGCGTGCATGCGGCAATTTTTTCATAATCAACTTGGACCATACTGTTGGCCTAAGCCCATCCTTAAAGCATCCATAACTTCTTTCCTTCGGAAAATTTGAATGCCCCAAAAGGCTCATGCCCTTATCAAAATCTTGAGGTTTAAATACCTATCAAAGCTTTCATCCACAATCAATGTAGGATTGGTAATTATACACAATTCCCAATACCTCATTCATGAGGCCATCTTTATGAAACAATATCTTATTCACTTCTTAATGGTTTTTGATTATTCTTTTTGTGGTGTAAAGATCTTGTTACAAAGAATCTACACCCATTTAATCCCACCTCAACCAATAGTTGTGACCTCCTTTAATTTCACATTAAAGTCACCATAAAACTATTTTTCCAACACCTTCTTTCCAATTCTCTCATGCTTGTTTAAGAGCCAAAGCCATCACAAAAAAAAAAAAAAAAAAAAAAAAAAAAAAAAAAAAAAAAAAAAAAAAAAAAAAAAAAAAATCAAAACTAATTAGTTATCATAAGAGGAAAACAAAAGATGCATAGCCTACTTGCCCATCCTAAAAGGGTTAGAGAGAGTTCAGTGAGATGAAAACTAGTGTTTCTTTTGCCTCCCCGAGATCTCTAACATTAACACTCCAAAGCTAAATACATATGATTTTTTAGAAAATTTTCCATATAATGCATATTCTGGTGACATGTAGCCACTGCATCACTAATAACAATGCTATCAATCAAATTGAAGAAATAGCAGCAGCAGCCCTATATTGATTTCTGCAGTACACATAAATTTATCTCATTCAAAATTCATAAAAATAAAAATATCAGTTGGTACTTACTATGTGCCCACCACTCACATGGTATTTGCTTTAGTTTGATTTATTCCAAGTTCCTTGCAGTTCCAAAGTCCAAAATTTTGGGATTCATTGCTTCTTCCAACAAAATATTGCTTGCCTTTAAATCCTTGTGAATGGCTTTCAATATACAATACTTGTGCAAGTAGATAAGACCTTGAGCAATCCCTTCTATGATTAGGAATCGTTTATTGCAGTCCAGATTGGCTTACTTAGAGGGACCTAATGGAAAATCAACACTAAATCAATGATGGGAAATTCAAAATCAGAGCCTCAAAACTAATAGAAATTGTGTTTATCAGAAGTTTCAAAAAAAAGGTAGAGGTGTACAAAATAGCAATTTGTGTAGGCTTCCATTGCACATATACTCATAGATTAGTATCGTTTCCTCTTATTCAACACAGCAACCCAAAAGCCCAGCAAGATTTTGATTTTGGAGTTTGGCAATAAGTTTCAACTCATTCATGAACTCCTTTGTTCCTTGTAATGATTTTTTAGATTGCTTTTCAATGGCTACTACTTGTACTTCAGGAAAATTCCCCTGAAAAAAGAAGGGGGAAAATGAGGATGAAATGTAAGACTATTGAAATAAATAATAGAAACTAAAACATAAGACAACTTAATTGTTTTACCACCAACCAAAATACGTTGTGTTACCTTATAAACAGGTCCATACCCACCCTCTCCAAGTTGTTTTACTTCAGAAAATTTGTCAGTAGCAACTAATATGCTTCTTAAACTAAACGATAACAATTCTCCATTACTTGGCCCAACAACAGACGCACTAGAGTTGGCGTCAAGCTCGTGTGAATCTCCATCTATTGTCTCGTACTCAAGAGTATTCAGTTAAACAAAATCATGTATGAGAAACTGCAAGTGTGCTATTAAATAACTTTCATTTGTGAGGTTGTGATACCTTGACTTCTCAGCCTTCTCATCGTGAAGACATAGCCAAAGCTACTAATAAGAAGCAATCCTACAGAGATGACAGCTGCTGCAATCGCAATTAGATTTTTGCTTCTATGCTTCAACTTACCATCAGCAACTACACATCAATTACAAAACACAAAATTTCTAAGAATCCCATTAGAAGTCAACTAAAATTTAGAAGAAAAAAAAGTGTTTTGAACGGAAATCGAGCAAGATGTCATACATACCTTGGTCCGAGCCATGAAGGCGTACATAAAGGTCTTTGCCATGGTAGTCATTGCCTTTTAGGTCCACGAGACCCTCGAAATAGTTTCTCCACTCATATTAGCACACGCGTAAGCTGTGCAGGAGCAGTTGTCATGACGTTTGGATTCACATTAATTAACAGTCATATCTCCACGAGAGGTTGAATAATCAGGCAATTTTATCCTTTCAAACTTAAAAAACCAATCTCCCAGATCACATGTCAGTGCCATTTTCCTGGCACAACCTCCTGTCCAATTTCCAAGATTCAAAGAATTTTGATCTTTAGGTTCAAAACCCTGCAAATTGTTGAGTATCCACACCAATGTGAACTTGGCTATGGAAGTCAAGTATGGAGGCTACAAACTTGCTGAAGTTTTCAAACCTAGGGTGGCTTGCCATTAACATTGGTAGTTGGTTGTTGGCAAGCAGAGATTGAGTTTGGCATTCCCGTTTGTGTATAAAATGGAAAGAGGTGAGCTGAGTTAGTTCATCAGAAAGAGAAGGCAACACAGAGTGTATGTATCTGTGAGTGAGAGTGCTATAGAGAGAGAGTGAGGTGTGAGTGTTGTAAACTCCCTCCGGGAAATTCTATAGTGGATATCTCTCCATGGACGTAGGCAATTACCGAATCACGTAAATATCTTGTCTTTTTTTTTGTGTGTGATTGATTTTTGGCGTGCCCTAATCCTAACAAGTGATATCAGAGCCTCGTTGGTTGATTTTTCCGAAAAGCAAGGTGTGTTTTTTCGAAACTGCCAGAAATCAAGTTGCTCAAATTCACTTTTGAGCATACTGAGAGGAAGCTCTCAATGAGAGAAGTCCAGAACTGCAAAGCAGAGCCCTAGACGATGCTCTACGAGCTCTCACGCACCAGCTAAAGAAAGCGCGTGAGTCTCAGTTGACACGGGCCACACGCGCCATTGAAAGTACCAACATGTTACACCAGTCTCAAGCACGTGCCCGATGTGCAGAGGAATGACGAATGAGAGTGGTGTGTACGTGTTCGCGATGTCACCGCCACGTCACACGCCATCTGGCAGTTACGTCAGCGCCACGTCAATGCCACGTTTTAGCCATGTGTAAGCCAGGTCAGCTCGCATGTCGCCACGTGTTAGCCACGTCATCACGCCAGTTGACCTATCAACCCGTTAGTTTGACCCGACCCGACCCGGAGACAAAGAGTTATTTGGTGCTATGTGGCTACGGTACGTTCGCAAATTTGAACTGTCGAGCTTATTTTGACTAGATTTGAGCCATTTGAAGTCCGACTTTGGCGAGCCAATAATAGTTTCCAACTATCTGGAGTATTCCAGAGAGATCTGTATGGTCAGATTTTTGAATAAGAGTTTCTGTAAAAGTAAGAAGACGATGGAGGAAACTACATCAACTTCAGGTTTGATGATAAAGTTAAATCCTTCCAATTATGCAATTTGGAAGCCATAGATGGAAGACATCCTATATTATATAGACCTGTTTGACCCTATTGCTCTAAAAGGGGTTAAGTCAGAAGAAGTGAAGGATGAAGACTGGATAAAGATAAACCAAGAGACTGTCGGTTGTATCAGATAATGGATAAACCACAGTGTGTTCCACCATGTCGCTTAGGAGACAGAAGCATATGTCCTTTGGACAATGTTAGAAGGAATGTACCAGTTAAAGACCGCCCGAAACAAAGCCTTAGTGATGAAAATGCTTGTAAATCTGAAGTTAAAGAATGGTGTGTCTGTTGCCGAGCACACCAGTGAATTCAAGAATCTGGTGAATCAACTTGCAACCGTCAAGATGCCCTTGGATGATGAAATGCAAACCGTACTACTTCTCAGTTTTTTACCAGATAGTTGGGAAACGTTGGTGGTTTCTCTCAAAAACTCTGCACTAGAGGGGAAGCTGACCATGAGCATGGTCACAGACGCCATGTACAATGAAGAGTCAAAGAGGAAAGACATGAGAGGTAATCATTCCCATGCTCTTGTCACAGAAAGTAGAGGCAGAGATAGAGGTAGAGGAAGAGGTAGAGAAAGAAGTAAGAGTAGAGGCAAATGAAACAACAGTAGTAAATCCAGAGATAGTAAAAATCAAGGTAACTCTAGCTTCACTTGCTTTCACTGTGGCTAGGAGGGTCACATAAAGAGGAACTGCCCAAGCCAGAAAGATAAAGGCCAAAGCAGTAAGTCAAAGGGAGATGAGAACATGACAACCACAACAGCTGATGAAATACTTCTTGGAGTTGGTGAATAAGAGGATTGCCTTCACGTGGCTGACCATAGCTGTACAAAGTGGGTGATAGACACAACTGCATCCTATCATGCCATTTCCCACAGAGAGCTCTTTAGTTCGTACAATGCTGGAGATTTTGGCACTGTTCAAATGGGGAATACTAGCTATTCGAAGATTGTGGATATTGGAGACATTAGTATTCAGACTAATGTTGGACACAAGTTGGTTCTCAAAAATGTGAGGTATGTCCCTGATTTGCGCCTCAAGCTTATCTCTGGAAGCACCTTGGACCAACAGGGCTATACAAGAACATTCAGAAATGGCTGTTGGAAGCTAATAGAAGGAGCTTTGACAATCGCTAGAGGAGAGATGTCTTCAACACTGTACAAGACTCAAACAAAAATCTGTCTGGAAAGTCTTAATGCAACAGAAGACAGGGGAGTCACCAGATTTATGGCACAGAAGACTGGCTCACATGAGTGAGAAGGGATTGCATCTGTTAGCACAACAATCCAAGATACCCTTATCCAAAGGGAGTGCCCTGAAGCCATATGATCATTGCCTTTATGACAAGCAGCATCGAGTACTATTCAATTCAATGAGCAAGAGGAAAATAGAAGTGCTCAGTATGGTATACTTGGATGTTTGTGGCCCAATTGAAATGAAGTCACTTGGCGGCCGCAAGTATTTTCTGACCTTCATTGATGATGCATCAAGGAAATTGTGGATGTATTTCCTGAAGATGAAGGATGAGGTATTCTAGCACTTCCAGGAGTTTCATGCAATGGTGAAAAGAGAGACCGGGAAGAAATTGAAGTGTCTTTGCACAGACAATGGTGGCGAGTACACTTCCAATACTTTTGAAGCATATTGTGCTAGCAGAGGTATCCAGTACGAGACAATAGTTCCTGGTACCCTACAACACAATGACGTGGTAGAGATGATGAACCACACTATTATTGAAAGAGTCAGATGCATGCTCAGAATGGCAAAGTTGCCAAAGTCATTCTGGGTTGAAGCCGCCCGTACAGCCTGTTACCTCATCAACAGGTCACCTTCAGTCCTGTTGAATTTTGCAATACCTAAGGAAGTCTGGTCCAGAAGAAAGGTATCATATTCTCACTTGAGAGTCTTTGGATGTAAGGCGTTCGTACACATCTCCAAGGAAAACATACAGAAGGTTGATGACAAGTCCACTCCATGTATATTTGTGGGCTATTCAGACACAACATTTGGATATAAGCTGTGGGACCCAGTGAATAAGAAGATGTTCAGGAACAGAGATATTGTGTTCCAGGAAGACTAGACAGTACCAGATTTTGAGAACTCTGCAAAGTCTAGAGATGCCATCACTCCAAACTTGTTCCTGTCTCTTGAGCCATCACAAAATGCTAGATGTGATGATGTGCAACAAGAAGTGCCAGAGTTGCAGGATCCTATGCCAGAAATTGAGGATCAGGAGGAAATAGATGAAGACCCAGATAAAGAGGGTGTTGAGCAGGGGGAGCAACCCCCTCAACCAGAGGCAGGAGATCTAGAAGAGTTGTCGTGCCATCAACCAAATATCCCACTTCTCAGTATATTCTGATTACTGATGAGAGGGAACCTGAGAGTTTTTTGGAAGCAAAGAGTCATACAGAGAAAGACTATTGGATGCAAGCCATGAAGGAGGAGATGAGTTCTTTGCAGAAGAACCATACTTATGAGCTTGTTCCACTTCTACGAGGCAGGAGAGCCTTGAAGAACAAATGTGTGTATAAATTGAAGAAAGATGGCAACGGTAAACTATTGTAGCATAAAGCTTGCTTGGTGGTCAAAGGTTTTGGACAAAAGAAAGGAATTGATTTTGATGAGATCTTCTCTCTAGTTGTGAAGATGACTTCCATTCAAGTAGCTCTGGGATTAATAGCTCGCTTGAATCTGGAGGTAGAACAGATGGATGTCAAGACTGTCTTTCTCCATGGTGATTTGGAGGAAGAAATCTATATGGAGCAACCAGAAGGATTTGAAGTTAAAAGGAAACATAATTTAGTCTACAAATTGAAGAAGAGGCTCTATGGCTTGAAGTAGGTGCCAAGACAATGGTACAAGAAGTTTGACTCATTCATGGTGGATCATGAGTACACAATAACGGTTGCAGACCAGTGTGTATATTTCCGAAGGTTTTTAGATAGAAACTTCATCATTCTACTGTTTTTATGTCGATGATATGCTGATCATCGGACATGATCCTGTTATGATCAACAAGTTGAAAAAGGACTTGTCGCAGTATTTTGACATGAAGAATTTAGGCCTAGCATAGCAAATTTTGGGCATAAAGATTGTTCATGATAGGAAAGCCAAGAAGATATGGCTGTCACAGGAAAAATATGTTGAACGGGTGATTGAAAGGTTCAACGTGAAAGATGCCAAGCCAGTTAATCCTCTGCTGGCTAACCATTTCAAGCTGAGCAAGAGCTCTTGTCCTTTATCTACAAATGAAAGAGAAGAGATGGAGGCAATTCTCTACTCATCTGCAGTAGGGAGTTTGATGTATGCAATGGTGTCCATCTGACCAGATATTGCTCATGTTGTTGGAGTAGTAAGCAGATTTCTTTCCAATCTAGGGAAAGAGCACATTGGGAAGCAATCAAGTGGATTCTGAGGTACTTTAAGGGTACATCTAAAATGTGTTTGTGCTTTGGAGGAGCTAAACCAGTCTTGAAAGGCTATACTGATTCAGATATGGTAGGGGATCTTGATGGTAGGAAATCTACATCAAGATTTCTATTTACTTTTGCAGGGGGAGCCGTGTCTTGGCAGACTAAGCTGCAGACGTGTGTTGCTTTATCCACAACCGAGGCAGAGTATATTGTCGCAACGGAAGCTGGAAAAGAAATGTTGTGGTTAAAACGGTTTCTCCATGAACTGGAACTAAAGCAGGAAAAGTTCATGCTACATTGTGATAGCCATAGTGCCATAGACCTGAGCAAGAATTCTATGTACCATTATCGCACAAAGCATATCGATGTTCGGTATCATTGGATACGCAAAGTGATGGAAAAACAGTTATTAGAACTGGTCAAGATCCACACAGATAAGAATCCAGCTGACATGCTTATAAAGGTGGTCTCGAGAGACAAACTCGAAGTATGCAGGGACATTGTTAGGATGGACTTCCAGTAAGGATCCTACTCCTCATAGATGTAGAGGGGGAGAATTATTGAGTATCCACACCAATGTGAACTTGGCTATGGAAGTCAAGTATGGAGGCTACAAACTTACTAAAGTTTTTCAAACCTAGGGTGGCTTGCCATTAACTTTGGTAGTTGGTTGTTGGCAAGCAGAGGTTGAGTTTGGCATTCCCGTTTGTGTATAAAATGGGAAGAGGTGAGCTGAGTTAGTTCATCAGAAAGATAAGGCAACACAGAGTGTATGTATTTACGAGTGAGAGTGCTATAAAGAGAGAGTGAGGTGTTTGTGTTGTAAACTCCCTCTGGGAAATTCTATAGTGAATATCTCTTTGTGGACATAGGCAATTGCCGAACCATGTAAATATCTTGTCTCTTTTCTGTATGTGATTGATTTTAGGCGTGCCCTAATCCTAACAAAAAGAACAACAAAATGGATGCAAACCATTTTGTTCACAGCTACTAAATGGAGCACACTGGCCATAAAAATCACATTTGGACTCAACTACTGGCAACTTCCATGCAACTACCCATGAATTGTCACTTTGTTCCCATAAAAGACCTGAGCTTGCCCACTAGGAGTTAGCATGGCTCTTATTTTCTTCGAACTTTCAGGGACACTACAACTGAGACAAATTTCATCACCTTCTACTATGAAAGTAAAAAATGAGGTAAAACCTTAAGATTTGTATCCTATATAAGAAAAACTATAGTCATATACTGTGCTTCTCCAATATGGATGGTTTTGCTTCCAAATGAAAATCTGTGGATGCCCTTCGGGATCTATACCTACTAAAAACATTCCTGGTCCAGGATCTTTATTGTCTACGTATGAGTATAGAAGGCTTCGCTGTCCAGTTTTCCAATTCAACCTGAGTTTCATGACAGGCATGAATGTATCAGTTGGATTATCAAAACTCTGCCATAATAGAGTGTCGTCACCAAGTCTCAGAACAAGATTTCCATTACCTGAAAGTTGTGCAACTGTGGAGTTAATGGCCAAATTGAGAATTGTTGCATTTGTTGACCAGACTACCTGTCCTCTTCCATCAAAAATCACAAGATTCCCATCATCACCGAGCCTGAAAACCGCTGTAGAATTTTGGCAAGAGAGTTGTCTCTATTAGCAACCCATATATGACTGTTTGTTTGGAGATTGTTTTGTACCACATGCCAATGTATCTGTTGGTGGAATTGCCTGGACTGAAGAAGCCTAACGCAAAATTTCCACCAGCTGAAGTTAAGGTTTGGTTAGTGTTGATTGATTTGCTTGCTCTCAAAATGTCTTCACTAGCACAAACAGGAAATAGAGAAGAGGATAGGATGATCATAATATTCAGTAGAAAATAGCAAGCCATTGATGGATCTTTTGGTTTAAGGTGATCCATCATTCATTTGGTATGTATCTCACTCTGCTAGAAGAAACTAATGGTGGAGAGACAGACACTCAAGTGGTACTTGAAGACAGAGTTGATTTTTTATGTTCACAAGGAAAGTCGTGACAAACTACTGATAGGTACGACAATGCGCTATAAAATTCTGATGTAAAATTATTCTTGAATTAATGTGTCACTTTAAAGATGGGCCACACTCTTGTCTCTCTTTCTCTCTTTCTCTCTGTGCAAATTTTCTGGGTACGTACATTTTTCTGTATTATGTAGTACAGTTGATTGTTGCCTTCATTCAACGTTTTTTTTTTAAAAAAAATACATCGATGCTTTTAAGTTAATTTCTTTCTAAAGACAAAAAAATTGAGTATTGTTGTTGAACCACTGTGACATATGGTCTTGTTATACATGTTAAAATTATTCAAAATTGGATTTTTTTTTTTGCAAGGAAACTTAAGAAATCAAAATGCTAAAATAAAATCGAGTATGTAAAAATGCATAACAAACTTAACACATTTCATCTAGGACGTGATAGGCCTCTTAATGACAACCACTTGAGTGTCAGATAGGCATAATAAAGAAAAAGAGAGGCTAACATTTGACGCTAGGAATCAAAGGAGCTATAAAGTGTAATTAGCACTAAGAATTGGGTAAAAATAACTAGCAAAAGTAAATGCAGGCAACTGACATCTTTTCTTTTCTTTTTTCTTAATTAGAGCCAAGGGTAATGAAGTACAATTCAAGCACCACTTCCAATAGATTTAAATTTTCCACATAAAAAATAAAAATAAAACAGAAACAGTGGGCTTTATAAGCATTGTCACAAACTGAGATCACAAACTTTTTGAAGAAAATCTTAATTAAAAACTAGAGAAGGCAACTCCTGCTAATAATTAGCATCAACACTAAACAAATTGCTTATAGAATATACATAAAAATTCTAAGTGCACACCAACCTTCTCGCATGCTGTGAGACTCATTAAAATGTGTGGGTTCTATCCTATGTGAAAGGGTTGTATTCAAATTTTGTATATGTAGAACAACTATATCAAAAAAACCAAAAACCAAAAAAGGAAAAAAGGGCAGAATAAATAAAAAGAGAGGCTAATTCTTGATACAAAAAATGACATCAACTATATAGTAGAATTAGAACAAAGAATAGAGTAATAATAACAAGTAAACAATGTATCAACAATGCTACAAATTTAGAAAAATTATCTAGAAAAACACCTTTCTGGATAACAATCATTTTAAGTGTGGCCCACACATCCCACTAATTTTAAATCTACATTGTACAACTTGTTTTGAGATAAAATTTGGAGCAAGTTTTCCTACTTTATAGTATATTTCAACAATGTATTGTAGGCAATTGGGTTTTTCTTTCCCCCACTAAAAGTTACACAAAAAGAAAAGTTGAAAAGTTAACAAAGTAGAGGCCAGAGCAATGAGGTATAATGCAAGCACCAACTCCAAAAGGGTCAAACTTTGCCAGTAAAAAAAAAGAGAATATATATATATATATATATATACACTCAAGACTAGGGAAAAAAAAAAAACTTGTACTCAAAGCTAAGAGTGTAGTGTTCCATGGCTTGCAGCCTCGTATTCTTCAATTCAATTCATATTCAACAATGTTAAACTAGTGCCACTTTTCTTGACTTTCTATTTATTTCTTTTGATTCTCTGAAGTTTTGGTGTATGCTCAAACTATCAATGAAGAACATTCTTGCAGTTGCACCACATGATAGGCAGATCAGGGAAAAGAAAAAAAAAACCTATTCAGTTTAATTTTGGAGAAAAAATAAAATTAACTAATGTATTCAAAACATGACTTCTTTTTAACACACATCATCTATATATATTTACATTGCAAAATCGAGCTTCACATAGAATCTACTATTGTAGTTGAATTTGACTCCACGATGATGTTTTATGTGATCAATTTCTCTGAAACTATACCTCAGAAATGGTGTTTATGCAATTTGTCTGGAAACTTTAAATTTGGATAGGCAAAATGCAAGCATGTCAGAGTCAGACTTGGCCACATATTTGAAAGTGTTAAAATATTGAAATAATTCTTTTGACATTCAGAAGGAATAGAAGACAGTTATAAAATATTGGCTTACCTTAATTTGGGTGAGACCATGTCTATATATAGGCCTCGTTTGGGAAGTGGCTATTTTAGTAGGCTATTTTAGTTTTTGGCTATTTTAAGTAGGCTAAAATTTTTGTGTTTGGGAAGATGATTGGATTTTTTTGTGGTTGGATGTGATATTTGTGAGAGAAAAAGTGAAATGATTATGGGTTTGATGTGATATTTTGTCTTATTAGCTATTTTAGCCTATTTTGTTTTTTTGTGATTTTTAGCCTAAATTTGGCTATTTTTTTTCTTCCCAAACACCCCCATAATCAATATAAGATACATGGGAAAAAAGAATTAAATAATTACACAATCAAATTCTAAAAATAAATTCCTAAATTAGATATACAATATTCCATATTTCAATACTCCTCCTCAAGCTGGATCAAAGATGTCAACCAACCCCAGCTTGCCAATGGAAGATTGAAATAGGGATGGTCCTATAGATTTTGTGAAGATGTCGGCAGTCTGATCAAAAGATGGAACAAACGAAGGACATACAATGCTAGCTCGAATCTTTTCCCGGATGAAATGAATATCAACCTCAATATACTTAGTACACTCATGAAGCACAGAGTCAGAGGCAAGTAAGATGGCAGACTTATTGTCACAAAATAGCTCAGAGGAATTATTCTCCTCAAAGCCTAGCTCAGTAAGAATGGACCGAAGCCATAGTAACTCACATGTCCCATGAGCCATGGCACGGTATTCAGCTTCAACAGATGATCGAGAAACAACCACTTGTTTTTTGCTTTTCCATGATAGAAGATGGGTACCAAGGAAGGTGCATATCCCAGAAGTGGAACGTCTATCAGTCAATGAACCTACATAGTCTGTATCAGTAAAAAAGGACAATCCTGTCTAAATCCCACCATTGAAGAATAAACCCAAACCTGGACATGACTTGAGATATCTCAAGATGTGGTGAACAATATCAAGGTAAGTAGTATGAGGTGAATGCATAAACTAACTAACCACACTCACAGCAAATGTCAAATCTGGTCGTGTATTGGTCAAATAGATCAAACATCCTACCAATTTATGGTAGCGAGTTGGATCAGAAAGCAACTTACCAAACTCAGCTGAAAGTTTCAAATTCGGATCCATAGGAGTAGATGCAGGCTTGCACCTCATCATACTGGTGTCTCGAATAAGATTCAAAGTATACTTCCGTTGGGACAATGATATCCTACTGCGAGAACGAGCTACTTCAATCCCTAAGAAATATTTGAGAGAACCCAAGTCCTTGATGTCAAAAACTCGACTAAGTTCCTATTTTACCATAGCAATACCAATGGTGTCATCTCCTGTAAGGATGATATCATTCACATAGATCAACAAAACAATACATCGACTATTGGGGTAACGATGAATGAAGCATGTATGGTCGGAGAGACACTGAGTAAAATCCATGGATAGGATAACAGAGCTGAAACAATAGAACCATGCACAAGGAGATTGTTTTAAGCCATAGAGAGACTTACATAGACGACAGACCTTGCCAACATACTCCCCCTTAGCTCGAAACCCGGGTGGAGGATCCATGTAGATCGTCTCACGTAAGTCCCCATGGAGAAAAGCATTCTTGACATCAAGTTGATGAAGGTGCCAAGAAGAAGAGGCAGCCAAGGAAATAAGTAAACAAACAGTGGTCAATTTAGCAACCGGTGCAAACATAGCCCCAAAGTCCTTGCCAGGAACCTGTGTAAAGCCCTTAGCAACAAGACGAGCCTTATAGTGGTCCACTGTACCATCAGCCAAGTATTTGACAGTAAAAACCAACTTGCACCCAACAGTCGTCTCACCAGAAGGTAAAGAGACAAAATCCTAAGTGTGATTATGCTCCAAAACAGCCATTTCAGTTTGCAGAGCGGCAACTCATTAGGGATTCTGGAGAGCCTCAAACACAGACCGCGGGATAGAGATCTACTCAAGTTGGCTAAAAAAAGACCGATGAGAAGTTGAAAGGGAATCATAACATAAAAACTGGGAAATATGGTGATTAGTACTACTAAACCAACCAAACCGAGTAGGGGGACAGTGTTCACGGGTTGGATACCGAGAAGGAGCTAAGGAGGGAATAGTAGAGGGAGTACCTTAGCTTGAGGGTGGAGAAGATGCTGGACGGGGTGGAGCACAAGGGCGATGAGAGTATGTCTGTAATGGCGATGGACTAATAAGTGCAGATACAGGCGATGAGGAAGGAGCAAAGAAATCAACGATAGGAACAGGGCGAGCATTCGGTGACACAACATAAGGCGGTGCACGCGAGGCGGAATCCTGAAACACAGGGTTGGAACCAAAAAATGACATATCTTCGCAAAATGTGATATCCATATAATGATAAAAACGACAAGATAATGGATCATAGCATCTATAGCCTTTAGAGAGAGCGGAATAGCCCAAGAAAATACATTTAAGAGACTTGTTATCTAACTTGGTCCTAGTTGGACTACGATTCTGAACAAAACAAGTACAACCAAAAACATGAGGCACAAGAGGAAATAACACGGTATCTGATCGAAGTAATTGAAAAGGGGCTAACCCCGTGAAGAATCCGACTAGGTGTTCGATTAATGAGGTAAACAGCAGTAAGCACAACCATTTGCTAGTAGGACTTAGAGACATTCATCCCACAAAAAAGACACCAGACAACATACATAATATGACAGTTTTTACGTTCAGCAATCCCATTTTGTCCAGGGGTGTAAGTACAAATGAGTTGCTCCAAAATTCCCTGCTGATTAAGTTGGAAGCGAAATGCATCAGAGATGTACTCCCTCCCATTATCAGAACAAACATTGCGTACAACAGTGTGGAATTGGGTTTTGATCATTTGGAGAAATTGAATAAAAAGTGGAAGCACATCAGACTTCTTTTTAAGCAAATAAACCCCAAGTACACCTAGAATGGTCATCTATGAAAGTTACATAATAGCAATGCCCAGAAAAAGCCAAAAGATAAGAAGGACCCCAGATATCAGAGTAAATAAGGTCAACCATACAGAAGGCACGATACATGCGAGGAATACAAGAAGCACGAGTATATTTAGACAGTTCACAAACAACAAAATGAAACTGATGATCCTTGCAAGCTTTATTAAGTGAC